CCCACTACTGAGGAGGGCGCAGGTGTACACTGCACCGTGGCTAGGAGGCGCCGAGGGGACGTGAGGCGCCGGGGGGGGACTGAGCACGACGCTGACGAGAAAGGTCAGCGTAGTGGCGGTCGAGGGCGGTAGTGTAAGGGCACCGCGAGGAGGTATGACCGTCCAAGCGGCAGCGCAAACACCCACGCCGGCCTAGAATAGCCGCGCGCTCCTGAGGGGAAAGGACACCACGAGGAGGGACGAAGCCCTGAGGGAGGTCCTCCTGAGGGACCTCGGGGGGTGCCAACGTGATCGGGGCGGCTGCGTGCCCGAGAGAGGGCGGAGAGCGCGAGCTGAAGGCGCTCAGCTGCAGGGAGGGTARAGTCCTCCAAGTGATAGTGGACGGCCTCGCAGAGATCGAGGTCATCGTTGTGGTCGCCCTCAGGTGACAGTGGGCCAACAGCGTCTTGCTCACCATACTCCAGCGCGCTGAAGCGGCGCGAGAAGTGGCGGCCCTGCTGTGTAGAACGGCGGGGGCGACCAAGGAAAGGGGAACGGTGCTGGGAAGTGCCGTGAGAGGAGGAGGAGGCGTAGCCCGTGCGTTGGGGCTGGGAGGAGGAGGCGGGGTGAAGACGGGCTCGCATCCGCTGATGATCCCTTGCGGCCTCGTAAGCCTGTGGGGTCGATGTGAACTCGTACCGCCATAGCTCGGAGCGCTACTCGAGCGGAAGGCTGGCCAGAAAACGATCGATAAGGGCAGCCTCGGGGAGGAACGCCACGTCGCAAACGAGGCGGGCGTCCTAAAAGACCTGGATGTGGCGATCCAGGCCGGCAGCACCACCAGAGCCGGACCAGCGTGTAGTGACGACACGCTCGAAGACGTCAGTCACGTCATATCGGGTTCCGAAGCGATCCTCGAGGAACGCCTGGAAATCCATGAAGGTCGGAGTCCGACCCTCACGCAGGGAGTAAGCATAGAAATCCTCCCAGGCGTCGAAAGGAGCACCACGCAGGCGCGTGGAGAGGTGACCCACCCACGTGTCGGGTGTGGTGCCGATGAGCTGGAGTGTGCGGGTGGCAGACCGCAGCCACCTAGACATGCGTATGCCTGCACCGTCATACAAGGGAATATCCGACAAGCGGATGAGTGGTGCGCCACCGTTTTGGCGGCGAGGGGAACGGGAAGCAGGGGACTGCGCTACGGCGGAATAAGTTGGCGCAGGTCCTGGAGGAGGAGGCGCAGCTGACTGTACGCCCGGGCCGCATGGTGGAGCGACGGGGGAAGCAGTGGCAGGCTGCACGGGAGCTGCGGTAGAAGAGGTCGCAGTAACCGAGGGGATGGGGAGGAGGTAGGATGGAGATTGGTAGGGTGCAGGGCGAGGGAAACGAGCCTGCATGGAAGGAAGAATAGAGAAAGAGGGTGCACCGGAAGGCGCGGCCACCTGGGAGGGTGGGGGTGGCTGAAGGCGCAAGAGGGCGAGGTTGGCCCGGAGCTGGGCAATCTCGTCCTCGAGACCTCGAACGTAGGTCGTGCGAGGGGTAGCAGGGGGAAGAGTGGAGGAAGTGGATGCACAAGCGGCGCGGGGCATCCCAGAGGGGGGAGAGTCAGGTGGCGCTGCGGTCGTGCGAAGGGGGGGGAGGAGCGGGGCACCCGGAAACGCTGAGACCATGGTAACGGGTAGTGGTCCCGTAGCCGTCGTAACCGGAATCTAGGCCGGTGCGCGCGTAGACTGAGGAAGGGCCTGACTTGTGGCGGCCGTCAAGCTAGGGGCGTGGACGGTCACCAAAATGGCCGGGTCGGGGGCGGCAGAGGAGGAAACTCCGCCGTGGCCACCCTGTCGGAGAGCTGGGGACCTGGACTGAGAGCCAGGAGAAGAGAGAGGATGAGAAAAGGAAGGATGACCAGCGGCCTGGAGTTGCTGCACGCCGGCGGCAAGGGTCGCCACCTGCGCCTGTAAGGGCCCGAGGGTCGCGAGTTGCGCCTGGATGGGCGCGAGGGTCGCGGGTTGCGCCTGAATGGGCGCAAGGAGGGAGGTGAGGAGGGATTGCAGATCCCCCTGGGGCTGATGGCCCTGGTCCGCCGGCACGGGTGTGGAGCCCGATGCCGTGGTCATCGCCGTGTCGGCGGCGTGTGACACACCGTCGGCCATGGGGAGATGACGGACCGGACTGAGGGGGGCCAGAAGAGGTCCGCGTGAGCGGAGGGCGTAGGGGGAAGTCCGCGGTAGGAAGCAGCGAACGGCGCTAGCAAGGCTAGCACGGGCGCCGTCGAAGGGGGACGGGTGGTTCGGGTCCAGGGTGCCCGAAGAGGACAGGGAAGTAGGGGGGGTTTGAAGAACCTTAAACCGTACAAAAACCCTAAGAAAACCCTAACCGAAGTTTAAGTGGTTAGGGTAGGGTACCGGTGACCTAATCAAGAAAGTAAAATAGCAAGCATAGGGGGGAAGGCGGGAGGAAAATAAATAAACAGCGAGATTTCGAGAGAAAATAAAAATAAATAAAAAAATAAATAAATAATAAAAATAATTAAAAAAATAAGTAAAAGATGTGAAGGGAAACAATATTTATTTTTTTGAAATTTTCGGCAGCATTTCCCTACCCCCCACGGGGTCAAGAATGTGCCAAGGGAAAAGGAGAGGCCAAGGTGAGCACACTAGAGATGCCGCAAATAAATAAATAAATAAAAATTCAGAAAATAAATAAAGAAATAATAAATAAATAAATAAGTAAATAAGTATGTGAGGAGGTGGGGAGAAATGGGTTATCTGATTTTTGAAAAATTTTGGCAGCATTTCGTTACCCCCATGGGGTCGAAGTGTGTGCCGAAAAGACTAAGTAAGAGAAAATCAGAAAAATTCGGTAGCACTTCGTTACCCATACGGGGTCAAAACGTGTGCCGAAAGCAAGAAAGGCTAACACCTAATCAGATTTAGGGTTGCCACCAAGAATTTTCAGAATAAATAAAAATAAATAAAATGAAAAGAGGGTGGGGAAGAAGATGAGAAAACTAACAACTAATCAGATTTAGGGTTGCCGTAGAGAAAATTGAATTTTCAGAATAAATAGAAAAAATAAATTAAATAAATCAAAAAATGAGAAAAGA